CATCAGCTTCTCTCTGCCCCACCCCCAGGGACCACACTGTAACCATCAGCTTCTCTCTGCCCCGCCCCCAGGGACCACACTGTAACTATCAGCTTCTCTCTGCCCCGCCCCCAGGGACCACACTGTAACCATCAGCTTCTCTCTGCCCCGCCCCAAGGGACCACACTGTAACCATCAGCTTCTCTCTGCCCCGCCCCAAGGACCACACTGTAACCATCAGCTTCTCTCTGCCCCGCCCCCAGGGACCCACACTGTAACTATCAGCTTCTCTCTGCCCCGCCCCCAGGGACCACACTGTAACCATCAGCTTCTCTCTGCCCCGCCCCAAGGGACCAAACTGTAACCATCAGCTTCTCTCTGCCCCGCCCCCAGAGACCACATTGTAAATTATAGCCCTCAAGAATCTGTGGGAACCAGGAAGTTTGGCAAACCAATCAGAAGGCAGGGTCCCTCCTACGCGGTGCAGTGTGTTTAGTCAGGGAGTAATGGACTGGAACACCTGGGACATGTCAAGGTCTTTACTCTGGGCTAAGTCAGTCTCTACCTTCACAGGGCTACTGTACAGTTGTGGTCAAAAGTTTTGAGAATATTGGTCTTCACAAAGTTTGCTGCTTCAGTGTTTTCAGATATTATTGTCAGATGTTACTATGGTATACTGAAGTATAATCACAAGCATTCCATAAGTGTCAAAGGCTTTTACTGACAATTACATTAAGTTTATGCAAAGAGTCAATATTTGCAGTGTTGACCCTTCTTTTTCAAGACCTCTGCAATCCGCCCTGGCATGCTGTCAATTAACTTCTGGGCCACATCCTGACTGATGGCAGCCCATTCTTGCATAATCAATGCTTGGAGTTTGTCAGAATTTGTGGGGTTTTGTTTGTCCACCCGCCTCTTGAGGATCGACCACAAGTTCTCAATGGGATTAAGGTCTGGGGAGTTTCCTTGGCCATGGACCCAAAATGTCGATGTTTTGTTCCCCGAGCCACTTACTGTAGTTATCACTTTTGCCTTTTGGCAAGGTGCTCCATCATGCTGTAAAAGGCATTGTTCGTCACCAAACTGTTCTTGGATGGTTGGGAGAAGTTGCTCTCGAAGGATGTGTTGGTACCATTCTTTATTCATGGCAATGTTCTTAGCCAAAATTGTGAGTGAGCCCACTCCCTTGGCTGAGAAGCAACCCTACACATGAATGGTCTCAGGATGCTTTACTGTTGGCATGACACAGGACTGTCTTGTCTTCTCCGGACAAGCTTTTTTCCGGATGCCCCAAACAATCGGAAAGGGGATTCATCAGAGAAAATGACTTTACCCCAGTCCTCAGCAGTCCAATCCCTGTACCTTTTGCAGAATATCAGTCTGTCCCTGATGTTTTTCCTGGAGAGAAGTGGCTTCCTCGCTGCCCTTCTTGACACCAGGCCATCCTCCAAAATTATTTGCCTCACTGTGTGTGCAGATGCACTCACACCTGCCTGCTGCCATTCCTGAGCAAGCTCTGCACTGGTGGTGCCCCGATCCCGCAGCTGAATCAACTTTAGGAGACGGTCCTGGCGCTTGCTGGACTTTCTTGGGCGCCCTGAAGCCTTCTTCACAACAATTGAACCTCTCTCCTTGAAGTTCTTGATGATCCGATAAATGGTTGATTTAGGTGCAATCTTACTAGCAGCAATATCCTTGCCTGTGAAGCCCTTTTTGTGCAAAGCAATGATGACGGCACGTTAATGGTTAACAGAGGAAGAACAATGATTCAAGCACCACCCTCCTTTTAAAGCTTCCAGTCTGTTATTCTAACTCAATCAGCATGACAGAGTGATCTCCAGCCTTGTCCTCGTCAACACTCTCACCTGTGTTAACGAGAGAATCACTGACATGATGGCAGGGCTGAAATGCAGTGGAAATGTTTTTTGGGGATTAAGTTCAAGAGGGACTTTGCAATTAATTGCAATTCATCTGATCACTCTTCATAACATTCTGGAGTATATGCAAATTACCATCAAAAAAACTGAGGCAGCAGACTTTGTGAAAATTAATATTTGTGTCATTCTCAAAACTTTTGACCACGACTGTAGACAACGCTGTCTAAACATGTCGGTGTGATGTCTACTCCTCACACACACACACACACACACAGACACACACATGCATGGCTTCAGAGGCTTTTATAAGGTTAATTCCTCAGACAGACCCATGCCCACCTGTGGTGGGTGTATGTGTAGTCCTGTCCTCTACGGGCCAATTACACACACGTTCCTCTCTACCCTCCCTCTTTCCTCCAGTCTTTAAATAAGATCTCCCTCTTTCTCCTCCGTCGCTTCCCCTTGCTGTGTTTAATGGGGTTAATAGGGGTTGGGGGGGGTTCCTGTCCATGCCTTATGTAAAGATGCCCTTTAGTCGGTTTATCTGATGTAGTCATTCCTAATGAGCCTCTTACCTTCGACCCCTGGGCTCTGTCTCACTCCCACTGCCTAACGAGCTCGTCTATATCAAACTAGGATGGATGAGTGTGACTGGCTCCTCTGCTCTGTCAGGGTCCCATCAGCATTAGTGATGATGTGATGGAAACAAATAACGTAGTCACTTCCCTAGTCTACAAATTTACAAATTTAATTCAATTGAACAAATCCATAGTTATATAAGTATGGGAAAAGGGAACCAGACCTTCTCACAGGGTTGACTGCCTCTCCTGAGGGTACATGATTTGACTGGCTTCCTCTTCAACCTACACTTGAGGTAGTGTGTGTGCGCATGCACGTGTGTGTGCGCATGCATGTGTGCGTGTGTGCGCGCGTGTGTTTGTGTGTGTTTTCATGCGTGAGTGTTTGTGCATGCATGCGGGTGCTGAGAGGAGGATGTCTCGGAGTCATACTCAGTGATGACTCCCCAAACTAGCAGGCTAATTAGTTGTAATTAACACTATTGGAGACCAGCTAATCACACATACACACACACACACACCTTCTTCTGCAGGATGTTGACCTTCCTCTCCTTAACATCCAGCATATCCTTCATGTCACGGATCTCTCCGGCCAGCGTGTCCTTCTCCTCTGTCAGGTCCTGGAGCTGCTTGGTCTTCTTACTGAGGAACGATTCCTTTTCTTCCAGACGCACACGCAACGCATCCACCTGGGAGAGAGAGAGAGAGAGGGCTCAGATTAAACCAGCTCTTATTCTACAATCGTGGAGGGCATGAAGAGGGCTACAATGTGACAACCACAGCATAAAATAAGAGAGAGACAGACACACACAGAAAGAGAGGGGAGAGAGAGACATAGAGAGATATAGGGAGAGAGAGAGAGAGAGAGAGAGAGAGAGAGAGAGAGAGACAGATAGACAGAGATATCCACTTCTTTACTCCAGTATTTTAGCTATATGAACCTATAGTATGTACCACTGACCACAGGGTTCTCCTGTTGTTATTGGGCATATACTGTACAGGTATCAATCCTCACTGCCTAACATCAACATTCTTCTCCACACTGTAGTGTCCAGAGTCTCACTCTGAGCTGGCTGACAGAATGTCAGACTGCTGCTGCTAGTGCTGCTGTCCAACAGCTGATTACATCAACAGGTTGTGTTGCCATGGAGCTGCATTACTGCTGCTGGGTAACCATCAGCACTGTGTGAAACCAGGCGACCCCTGTTTAATTCAACTTCCAAGGTCTGTCTGTCTGTGTCTCTGTGTGTGTGTATGTGTGTGTGGTGTGTGTGTGTGAGCTTGTTATCAGGCGTTTTAACGAGCCTCGGGTGGGCTCAGAGGAGATGGTGTGAATGTTTTAAGGGCTGGGGTTTGATGTGTTCCACACGGAGCATCTTTCAGAGACTTTACAGGGCATTTACAGAGAGAGAGAGAGAAGACAGCGTGTGTGTGTGTGTGTGTGTGTGTGGTGTGTGTGTGTGTGTTAGTGTGTGTGTGTGTGTGTGTGTGTGTTTTAGTGTGTGTGTTACATGCAGTGATAGAGGTTCTCTCAGAGCCATTAGCACCAGGCTGGGACCCTCAGGTGTAAGATGGGAAAGTATGTATCTCATATTACCTGGCTGGCAGTGTCCCAGACCCTGCTACTGAGGCCTACTCTGTCCTTCTCTCTGGCACTCACACACTGCACTGACACCCCTAATCCTACTCTCTGGACTGGACATCTCAGGTGTGTGTGTGTGTGTGTGTGTGTGTGTGTGTGTGTGTGTGTGTGTGTGTGTGTGTGTGTGTGTGTGTGTGTGTGTGTGTGTGTGTGTGTGTGTGTGTGTGTGTGAGTGTATGAGTAACTAATCCCCCCCCCTCCCCTCACCTGGCAAAGAGCAATTTAGAAAGAATGTGTAAGCGTCGGTCGGCAGGAAATCCCTCAGATCACTCACTAAGCTGTGATACACTAGTCTCTGACTGGTAATACCCTCTTATAGCACTCCCTAGGTGCCTGGGAGAGAATCACATTCCCTGAAACACAGAGCGAGAGCGGTAGAGAGAGAGCGCGAGAGTGAGGAGGGGTAGACCTCCAGGTAGATATTGTAATCACTGTAGCACGTTGAAATTACCGTCATCTCCTTCAGTGAACGTGAAAATGCTACTTCATACAGTAAGACCCTAATGTACTGTAGAGGTCTCTGTCAGCATACACACTGCTGAGATGATGGATATGGAGCTAAATGTATGTTGTGGAGACCAAAGGCTACCCCATGTCTGTCTCCCTCTCTTTCCACCCATTCCCCTCCCTCACTCTCTCTGATTCTATAGCCTCCATCAATAGCGGTAGGGTGAGACAGAGTGATCTTGTGGAGTGCTGAAAGCCCTCTCTTCCTCCCCCCTCCCTCTCTTCCTCCCCCCTCCCTCCCTCCCTCTCTCCCTCCCTCCTCCCTCCCTCCTCCCTCCCTCCTACCCTCCCTCTCTCCTCTCTCCTCCTCCTCCTCCCTCGCTCCTCCCTCCCTCCCCCTTCCCGAGCCCCTCCCCCCTCGCTCCCCCTCATCCTCTCCTATCTATCTCCTCACCCCCCCCCCCCCCCCACCCTCCCCTATTCTCTTCCTGCCCCCCTTCCTCCCTCTCTACTCCCCTCTCTATCCTCCCCCACCCCCTCCTCCCTCCCCCTCCTCCCTCCTCCCTCCCTCTCCCCTCCTCCCTCGATCAGCTCCCTCCCTCTCTTCTCCCTCCCCCCTCCCTCCCTCTCTCCCTCCCTCCTCCATCTCTCCCTCCCTCCCTCCCTCTCCCTAGGATTCTTCCTGTGTACATCAGTAGGTGTGAGTTGTGAGGAGAGAGAGGGGATGGGATCCCTCCAGTCCCGCCAAACATTGTTTTTGGGGTCCATCCCACATTTCTCAACGCCACGCTGCCCTGTGACAACACGCAAAACAGAACGCCTGCTGTCTCCACGGCAACCAGGGACTCATTTGGCACGAGCTATTGGACGCTGGTGCGGACATTCTGTTTTGTAATTACAGTGTTTCATTGGCTCAGAGAGGGGGAGTGGGGAACAGCTCAGCCCAGAGAGAGAGAAGGCGAGAGAGAGAGAGAGCGAGAGAGAGAGAGCGAGAGAGAGGGGGGGGGGGGGGGGGGGAGAGGGGGAGAGAGCGAGCGAGAGAGAAAGAGAGAGAAGAGAGAGAGGGGGAGAGAGCGAGCGAGAGAGCGAGATAGAGAGCGAGAGAGAGCGAGCGAGAGAGAAAGAGAGAGCGAGAGCGAGAGAGAAAGAGAGAGCGAGAGCGAGAGCGAGAGCGAGAGTGAGAGAGAGATGGGAGGAAGAGAGATAAAGTGAGGGAGCCCAGAGCGGTCCAGTCTGGCCTGGCTCAGTCCAAATCCAAGGGGGACGGGGGAGATTGCATCGAGGCGTGCCGGTGCATGGATGAATTAAAAACACATCCATCGCCCTATCTCCCCCAAACCCCAGCATAAGCCTCCCAGCCCCTCACTCAACACCAGATCATTTAAAAAGGTCTTGATATGTTTTCAAGATTTCGTGGTTGCAAAACTATTAATTCTTGGCAAAGTGAGATGCTTTCTTTTTCTTTTTTTTTTATGTGCGCACACTCATTCATACACACTATCATTCTCACATACGCATTCATGCAGCCGTGGACACACAAACACACTGTCTCGCGCATACACACACTCCCCCACTTCACCTCCCCTTTCATATTTCTAATGACAGCCAAATCTGGTTTTTGGACGTTGGTTTGCTAAGTAAAACAGCGGTTTAAAGAAAACACCAGCACTGTTTGTCTTCACCTCCCTTTTTCTGCTTCACGTTTCATCATAAAAGTTTTTCTGGCAGCCGAACCTGCAAAAGGTATAAAACCTCGAGTCGGCTTTGGGCCCAATAAACAACTGGGAGACTATATGAGGAGACCACATTCAAAAGTACCAGAACTGGAGAGTATGAGAGTACCACAGTACCGTACACACTAACAGAGTCAGGAATGAAACCTTCTGCCTTATAAAGCATGGACATTACAAACCCTTAGGCAGGCATGATACACAGCTGAATCACATATATACACACACACACACACAGATGATATACAGTTGTTCCTCAGAGACAGGCAGAGTAACAGACAGAAAACAGATCCAGTCCAGTCAGTCACTCAGTCAAAAGTTTATTTGCCACATGCGCCGAATACAACAGGTGTAGACTCAGTCTGGGTGTTGCTTCTTATGTTCTACCTCATCTGACATGGACCCTTCTAAACACAATGCTAAACCTATAGACAACATGCAAACAACATGCTCACTGCACAGTTTTTCTTACATTTACATTTTAGTCGTTTAGCAGACGCTCTTATCCAGAGCGACTTACAGTTAGTGAATGCATATTTTTTTATACTGGCCCCCCATGGGAATCGAACCCACAACCCTGGCGGCCATTCCCTCCCCTACCCTGGACGACGCTGGGCCAATTGTGCGCCGCCCATGAGTCTCCAGGTCGTGGCCGGCTGCGACAGAGCCTGGATTCGAACCAGGATCTCTAGTGGCACAGTTAGCACTGCGATGCAGTGCCTTAGACCACTGCGCCACTCAGGAGTACAAGTACATTCTTCTCCTGAAGCAGGAAGGTACAGTAGGTTGTCTCTGGGTTGCTGTGATGAGGTGTGTTATCCAAGAGTGTGTCTGGCCCGTGTCCTGGTGCTACAACATACCATACGTCATCCATTAAAATACATTTATTTGAATAAATCTGCTGTGAAATTAATCATCCCAAATTAACAGATAATATTTGAGTAATTGGTCTATATTTTACCCTTAATAGCCACATGAAAAAAATACTATGGTCTATATACTATAGTATTCACTGTAGTGTTTTGGGGTAACCTACTGCAGTATTTACTGTAGTGTTTTGGGGGTAATCTACTGCAGTATTTACGGTAGTGTTTTTGGGGTAATCTACTGCAGTATTTACTGTAGTGTTTTTGGGGTAATCTACTGCAGTATTTACTGTAGTGTTTTGAGGGTAATCTACTGCAGTATTTACTGTAGTGTTTTTGCGGACATGACTATAGTATACTATAATATTAAATGTAGTGTTTTTTGTGTAATTTACTGTCATATTCACAGTAGTGTTTTTTTGTGGACATGACTAGTATACTGTAGTATTTACTGTAGTGTTTTTACGGACATGACTTTAGAGCTAAAATGGCACAACTACCAGACTGCCCAGTTAGTGTTTAATGAAGGGAACACCACAACCAGAACTTCAGACACAGGTCTGTGACAGGCCACCTATTGAGTTGGTTCAACAGTTCTGACCAATGTAACAGACCAGACAACACCTTAGGAAAAATATACAATTTTTATTACAACTTGTAACATCTAAACGTTAGACAGGTTCTAGGCCCATTAAAGCAAAACAGTACAGAGACAGCTATAAAGAACAAGTAAAGTTGATTAAAGCTTAGAGGTTTAGGTTTACTTGTTTGACACATCAATAACACATTAACAAGAGTACACCAAAATGACTTAGATCTGTTACGTCCACTAGATTACTTCTGAAATAGAACAGTGCTTTCACAGAGATTCAGCTGACCAAGTTCACAAGACGACCAAAAACAGTGACAAACAATACTGTACTTCTAATGGTAGAAAAGAAAGAACAGTTAACCACCGCATTTACATACACAATAGATATTTTAGAAATACAAATGATTTTACTTAAAAAGACTGCCAATAAACTGCCTGGACCTCAAACCAGAAAAGCTTCTTCAAATAAACCAACTGAAAACAAAAGGGCATCATTGCAGTGGTTTTACATATTCAACATCTTGAATATTGAATTAACTCACTGATGGTCAAACTCAACACATACCATTCAGAACAAAATCGACCACACCCCAAACATTTATTCAAGACGGCATGGTCACAAAATGGTTGCTCGGATAAATAAACAACTGCACCAACACCATACTGCCTATACACACAAACAAAGGACCTTCCAGGTGCAAAGTTCTCTCCTGAACATGGCCAAAAATCTCTCAAGCAGGTGGCGTTTTAGTTTTTGTCGCTTACCAGTTCTATGAAAATGTAAATGGCTTATTTGTTAAGTGTGGCTTATTTGATTAAATTGTTACGAGTGTACTGATATAAGTAGGACATGTGACATCCCGGAAACTTTGAGGAAAAAACACTTTTTATTGGAGTTACGCCTGTTGTTCACAAGCGTATCTGCCCTCTCATTGGCTTGAATGGTCCCACCTGATCTTGCCTCTTCCTGACTGCCTTCCATTTTTGAAGGCATTTATTTTCATTGTTAGCGAGGCCACTTGAGTATCTGGTCAATATAATGGATAATCTGTGACATGACCAAGGGGTGCTTGACCAATTTCCTGCATGTCCTCCCCTAATAAGGGTGCCCAGGGAAATACTGACCAAAAGTTTGGCTCCTGTCACACAATATTCTTCAGTTACAAGATTGTCTGAGTAGAGCAAGCCTCTATCTGGGTATGTAATATTGGTTGTCTGATGATTGTTGATGATTTATACCGGTAAAGACAAAAGGAACTGCAAGTTGCTTTTTAATCTTCTTCTTTTTGGTATTTTTTTAAATGTAGGTATCCCTGAACCTGGAGTCTATCAGTGGAGAGGCACAGAGACCAGAAATAGATCACGTACACTTGCACACACAGACACACACACACACACAGAGATCTGAGACCAGCTCAGTATCTCATGTAAACAGTAATTCCACATCTATCTCTATCCATGTGAAGAAACTTCTGCTCTGCTCTCTATCACAGAGGAACTCAACAGTTTAATGAGAGAAAAGTCCTTGCACTGATCCAGTGGTCCCACAATGGACCTGGACATCTGACTGTCATTAAAATTAATTATAACAGACTTCTAAGATATAGGAACACCTACACAGACTGTAAGAAATAAAATTAAGTGCAAGTACCTCCCATACATCTACCGGGAACACTTTTCCATTCTGATTATTACACTGGAGCTATTGTATATAAAGCACATCTCAATACACTACAAAGGTTCCCTTTCCTTCATCCATAAAGCCTGTCTAGATCGGGAGAGGCCCAGGAGGCCAGTGCAGGTGTGTGGTGGTGTGGCACACCAGCATAATCTCAGAGCTGGGAGTCTGGGATACAGGCAGGTCAGTGGACGCCTACAGGGCAGGGCTGGCCATACCACGCCTGTCTCTCTGTCTGTCTCAGGACCCCTCTTTCATCCTGCTTCACACCTTGAGCTACAAACCTATGAGTCCTTCTTAATGGCTCACTACTAAAACACTCCAACTCATTCACACACACACACACACACACACACACACACCACACCTCACACACTGATCCATGCGGATATGAGAGAATGTTCCCTGTCCTCAGGCAAGGGCAGAGAATTCCGAGGTGTGTCATCAAGCTGAGAATGAGACACGGCCAAAGCTCAAACACACACACACACACACACACACAAAGACACACACACTTCATAGCGCAGATCTGGAGTCACGTAATGACCGGATCACACAGGCCCCCTTATGGGATAATGACAGGATGAACTGTAGTATGGGCTGCAGGGCAAAGAACAGGAGAAAACTATTCAAATACACACACGCAAGTGCACACACAAACACGCACGCACGCACTTTAAATGTATCTTTAAATGACACAAGGGCCTCAGGTCATGAGCATGTCACTGTTCTACTGATGTTCATGTATACTGGTGGAGGGGGAACGCAATGCCAGTCAATGGTTGATGTTTCCAGAGAGATCACTCCAGATCTGATGTTTGGAGAAACTTGGAAAAGCGTCTAATTCTGCAGTGAGACAGAGCTTGTTGGATGTTTCATATGTCTTCTTTCATGATGGTAGATCTCTCATCCTAGATGGTTGAAGAGGGATATAGTTAAGCTCTAGTGGACAGATTCTATCCTCTATTACAATCCTACTTTACCCCAAACACAGCTGCTCACAGCCTTCCTTAACCATATCATCCATCATCATTAACTACTATAGGAGGGAGAGATACCACACACACACACGCACGCACTCACTCACTCACACACACACACACACACACACACACACATATACAGACACACACCACAAGACACCATGGGCGTTCTCCCTCATTAATACTCGCACCATGTTTGATTATTTTTCCTGATCATTTCCAAACGTTCCTCGCCAGCCGTTGCATCCTGTTTCCAGGCCTTCCATTTCCTGCCTAGCTGATTGAACTGTTCCTACTGTAAACCATGTACTGTAGGGAGCAATACTGATATATACAATACTGTAATCCATGTACTGTAGGGAGCAATACTACTGTAAATAATGTACTGTAGGGAGCAATACTGACATATACAATACTGTAAATCACGTACTATAGGGAGCAATACTGATAAATACAATACTTTAAACCATGTACTGTCGGGAGCAATACTACTATAAATCATGTACTGTAGGGAGCAATACACATATACAATACTGTTAATCATGTACTGTAGGGAGCAATACTACTGTAAACCATGTACTGTAGGGAGCAATACACATATACAATACTGTAAATCATGTACTGTAGGGAGCAATGCACATATACAATACTGTAAATCATGTACTGTAGGGAGCAATACACATATACAATACTGTAAATCATGTACTGTAGGGAGCAATACTACTATAAATCATGGACTGTAGGGAGCAATACTGACACTTACAATCGTGCAGGGCTTGACATTAACTTTTTTTAGTAGGACTGATTTTTGACTTCACCAAAAAAGGTCCGTAACACCATCGGCCAAAAGGGTGGCTGAAAAATGGTAAAGTACGTAGGAGGGATCTGAAATAAATGTCTGTGCTTGCCCATAGACAATGTTATATCTCCCTAGCGGCCATCCACAATAATATAAAAAGCAAAAACACTGCTACGCACTTGGCTGGAAAGCTACGGGAGGGATGAGAGGAATCATGTGGAGCTAAATCTTTTCGAATAGCCTATTCCACTCTGTTGGAGCTGTGGCATGAAAGAGATGTGTAGTCACCTATCTTGTTATCTGTGGACCCAAATAGATGTGTAGTCGCCTATCTTGCTATCTGGCTATCTGACTATCTGTGGTACTAAAGAGATGTGTAGTCGCCTATCTGGCTATCTGACTATCTGTGGTACTAAAGAGATGTGTAGTCACCAATCTTGCTATCTGGCTATCTGACTATCTGTGGTACTAAAGAGATGTGTAGTCGCCTATCTGGCTATCTGACTATCTGTGGTGCTAAAGAGATGTGTAGTCACCAATCTGGCTATCTGACTATCTGTGGTACTAAAGAGATGTGTAGTCGCCTATCTGGCTATCTGACTATCTGTGGTACTAAAGAGATGTGTAGTCACCTATCTGACTATCTGTGTGTGCCAAAGCGCACAGATGGAGTGAGTGACAGTCAACGAGCCTCGCTGGCTATGCACCTTGTGATGGGTTGTAAATCATCATGGGCTGCAAAGCAACTCATTCACATTTTTTCCTCATCCTCCTCTCTCATTAGGCCTAAGATACCATGTGTGTTGTAGGTAGGCTGCACATTGCTAGAATAATATGGAAATAGGCCTAGGCCAACTACGCATTTCTTTCATAAGCTTTCCTCAGCTGTAGCCTACATTTTGTTTTGACTGATTAGATTTTTCCATCTTGGTGTTGTTTGCTAACTTTCACTTACTTGTGGCCTAAAATATTTGTCATTCAAAATAAATCTGTGAATGAGAATAGCATAGAATGCAACTTTCATAATTATTCCCATTTAAAAGCTGCAACTTTAAGAACTTAAACACTTTGGAAAATACTCTTCATAACTTTAATTTGTGTTAATGCTTTTATGATATTTCAGTTAGTAGGATTAGGCTTTTGGTCGTTTGGTTCGCAATGGCAAGGAAGGATTTTTTTCACATGCATGCATCATTTCTGTCTTATAATGCTTTGCTCAACTGTAAGGTTTGTTCATATTTCTCATTAGATTTTTAGATCTTGCTATTGTTTCTTCTATCTCTCTCATTATTACCCTAGGCCTCCCATGTTTTGGGGTTATTCAAAAACAACTTAAAACTTTCAGAGATAGCCTAGAACTCTATTAGATTCATTCATTGTTTGATCATGAAATAGTGCGGCAGGAGAAGTCTAGCATGCATTAAACTGAAAGAGTGGCTTAAAAGGCTAAGTCATATTCATATCAAATTGAGAGAAAATAAACAATCTGGGCATCTACAACAATACGACACCGGAGTGTCCGCTATAAATAATAGACTTCGGCTATTGGCCCAAATCATCCGACATTCGGATGGCGTCACTACAGACCCTGGTTCAACTCCAGGCTGTATCACAATCCGGCCGTGATTGGGAGTCCCATAGGGCGGCGCACAATTGGCCCAGCGTCGTCCGGGTTTGGCCGGGGTAGGCCGTCATTGTAAATAAGAATTTGTTCTTAACTGAATTGCCTAGTTAAATAAAGGTTAAATAAATAAATAAAAATAAATAAAACATTTTCTGGTCGGATATTTTGCGCTGCTTTGGTGAGACTCTTAGCTCCGTCTACATTGTTCTCTTGCTTGGTGTAAATATAACATATTTATTGAAATAGTCTATAGCAAATATACTGAACAAAAATATAAACACAACATGTAAAGTGTTTCATGAGCTGAAATAAAAGATCCCAGAAATTTTCCATTCGCACAAAAAGCTTACTTCTCTCAAATTTTATGCACACATGTCTTTAGATCCCTTTTAGTGAGCCTTTCTCCTTTGCCAAGATAATCCATCCACCTGACAGGTGTGGCAAATCAAGAAGCTGATTAAACAGTATGATCATTACACAGGTGCAATGAAAAGGCCACAGTTTTGTCACACAACACAATGCCAAAGATGTCTCAAGTTTCGAGGGAGCGTGCAATTTGCATGCTGACTGCAGGAATGTCCACCAGAGCTGTTGCCAGAGAATTGAATGTTCATTTCTCTTCCATAAGCCGCCTCCAACGTCGTTTTAGAGAATTTGGCAGTACATCCAACTGGCCTCACAACAGCAGACCACGTGTAACCACGCCAGACCAGGACCTCCACATCCGGCTTCTTCACCTGCAGGATTGTCTGAGACCAGCCACCCGGACAGCTGAAACTGTGGGTTTGCACAACCGAAGAATTTCTGCACAAACTGTCAGAAACCGTCTCAGGGAAGCTCATCTGTGTGCTCGTCGTCCTCACCAGGGTCTTGACCTGAATGCAGTCCGGCGTCATAACCGACTTCAGTGGGAAAATGCTCACCTTCAAATGGCCACTGGCACGCTGGAGGAGGGTGCTCTTCACGGTTGAATTCCGGTTTCAACTGTACCAGGCAAATGGCAGACAGTGTATAAGGCGTGGTGTGGGTGAGCAGTTTGCTGATGTCAACGTTATGAACAGAGTGCCCCATGGTGGCGGCGGGGTTATGGTATGGGCAGGCATAAGCTATGGACAACGAACACAATTGCATTTTATCGATGGCAATTTGAATGCACAGAGATACCGTGACGAGATCCTGAGGCCCGTTGTCGTACCATTCATCTGCCGCCATCACCTCATGCATGATAATGCACGGACCCATGTCGCAAGGATCTGTACACAATTCCTGGAAGCTGAAAATGTCCCAGTTCTTCCATGGCCTGCATACTCACCAGACTTGTCACCCATTGAGCATGCTTGGGATGCTGTGGATCGACGTGTACGACAGCGTGTTTCAGTTCCCGACAATATCCAGCAACTTCACACAGCCATTGAAGAGGAGTGGGACAACATTCCACAGACCACAATCAACAGCCTGATCAACTCTATGCGAAGGACAAGTGTTGCGCTGCATGAGGCAAATGGTGGTTACACCAGATACTGACTGGTTTTCTGATCCACGCCCTTACCTTTTTTTAAAGGTATTTGTGACCAACAGATGCATATCTGTATTTCCAGTCATGTGAAATCCATAGATTAGGGCCTCATTTATTTATTTAAATTGACTGATTCCCTTATATGAACTGTAACTCAGTAAAATCTTTGAAAATGTTGCATGTTGCGTTTATATTTTTGTTCAATATAGGAATATGGGCTCAGAATTTATTCAGAATTTCAACCATGCTGTGGCTGCGGCAGCACCGCTGCCTGATCCAATGCTGATCGGAGTAGTTGTTTGATAGTGATTATTTTACTTGTCCATTCGGACAACTGAAGTTTATATTCTGGTTGTCCAACAATTTTCTTTACTTGCCCCGGACAAGCGGACATGCCTTAATGTTGAGTCCTGTAGTGTAAACCATGTACTGTAGGGAGCAATACTGATTCATACAATACTGTAAACCATGTACTGTAGGGAGCAATACTGATTCATACAATACTGTAAACCATGTACTGTAGGGAGCAATACTGATTAATACAATATTGTAAACCATGTACTGTAGGGAGCAATACTGATTCATACAATACTGTAAACCATGTACTGTAGGGAGCAATACTGATTCATACAATACTGTAAACCATGTACTGTAGGGAGCAATACTGATTCATACAATATTGTAAACCATGTACTGTAGGGAGCAATACTGATTCATACAATACTGTAAACCATGTACTGTAGGGAGCAATACTGATTCATACAATACTGTAAACCATGTACTGTAGGGAGCAATACTGATTCATACAATACTGTAAACCATGTACTGTAGGGAGCAATAGTGAAGGCCTCCATACTCAATCAGCTGGAAGGTTATTTTTGTCTCTCCATCTCTCTTGAGCATTTCTATTGTTGTTGAGAACAAACTACCCCTAGATATCCCTCTTTCTCTCCCTCCTCCCTCTATCCTCTCCCTCCTTCCTTCTATCCTCTCCCTCTATCCTCTCCCTCTATCCTCGCCTCTATCCTCTCCCTCTATCCTCTCCCTCTATCCTCTCCCTCTATCCTCTCCCTCTATCCTCTCCCTCTATCTATCCTCTCCCTCCCTTTTTTTTAAAGTCATTTAGCAGACACTCTTATCCAGAGCGACTTACAGTTAGTGAGTGCATACATTTTCCATACTGGCCTCCCGTGGGAATCGAACCCACAACCCTGGCGTTGCAAGCGCCATGCTCTACCAACTGAGCTACAGGAGGCCCCTGTGAAGGGTATATTTAGAGCCACACATGCCCTGTGTCAGAGGTCAGAGGTCAACAGCTCCTCTCCTGCTGGGGTTCATACGTCAGCCAGCCTGGCAGCTCATTGGCTGGGTGAATGACCTCAGCATTGACACATACAGGAAGTCAGAGGTCATTATCGGTAGGGGAGGAGGGGGTGGGAGGGGTTAATCTACAGCTGGTTTAATTAGTAATTATTTACCCTCCTCACCCCACCCCTCACCAAAAATACCCCAAACAACACACATGTTTAAATGCATGTGCATGTGTGTGCCTATGCAGGTGTGTGTGTGTGTGTATATAAGTGTGTGTGTGTGCGTGCGTGCGTGTGTTTGTGTATAAACGTGTGTGTGCATATGCAGGTGTGTGTGTGAGTTAGAAAACAAACATGAGAAATGAGTTTTCCCGGCGGGCGGACATTTCCGGTGCGTTCCTCAGGGAGCAGAGCCCCTCTGGGCGTGAGAGACCAACCGCATTCTTTATTTCTTTCATTAATGATCAGGCCTAATTATTAACGGGGCTGCAGCGCTTTATAAATGTCTGAGGGGTAATCGTGTTTTTCTAGGAGTGATTTATGGCTAAAGGAAAGACGGGTGCCCCCTCCACACTCCTCTATAAACCCCCTATCCCACTCCTCTAACCCCCCTCGCCCACTCCTCTAGCCACCCATCCCCGCCCCCACATAGCTCCTAAAAAACCCCACTCCCCACTCCTCTAAACCCACCCTACCCCCAATCCTCTACCCCCCCTCCGCACTCCTCTAAACCCCCCTCCCCACTCCTCTACCCCCTCCCCCCCCCCCCTACCACCCTACCACCCCACCCCCCTCCCCACTCCTCTAACCCCCCTCCCCACCCCCTAACCCCCCTCCTCTAAACCCCCCTCCCCCACTCCTCTACCCCCCTCCCCCCTCCCACCCCACCCCCTCCCCACTCCTCTACTACCCCCCCCCCCCCTCCCACACTCCTCTACCCCCCTCCCCACTCCTCTAACCCCCCCTCTCCCACTCCTCTAACCCCCCTCCCCACCTACCTCCCACTCCCCCTCCCCACTCCTCTACCCCCCCTCCCCACTCCTCTAACCCCCCCTCCCCCACTCCTCAAACCCCCCTCCCCACTCTCTAACCCCCTCCCCACCCTCTAGCCCCCCTCCCCACTCCTCTAACCCCCCCCCCCACTCCTCTAACCCCCCCTCCCCACTCCTCTAACCCCCCTCCCCACTCCTCTCCCCCCATCCACCCCCTCCCTCCCCACCCTCAACCCCCCCTCCCCACCTCCCCCCCCTTTAACCCCCCTCCCCACTCCTCTAACCCCCCTCCCCCTCCTCTACCCCACCCCCCTCCCCACTCCTCTACCCCCCCTCCCCACTCCTCTAACCCCCCTCCCCCTCCCACTCCTCTAACCCCCCTCCCCACTCCTCTAACCCCCCCCCCTCCCCACCTCCTCTAACCCCCCCTCCCCCTCCTCTAACCCCCCCTCCCCCCCCTCCCACTCCTCTACCACCCCCCCCTCCCCACTCCTCTACCTCCCCCCTCCCCACTCCTCTAACACCCCCCTCCCCACTCCTCTAACCCCCCTCCCCACTCCTCTACCCCCCTCTCCCACTCCTCTACCCCCCCTCCCCACTCCCTCTAACCCCCTCCCCCTCCCTCTACCTTCCCCCTACCCCCCCTCCCCCCTCCCCACTCCTCTACCCCCACCCCCCCTCCCCACTCCTCTACCCCCCTCCCCACTCCTCTACCCCCCTCCCCCACTCCTCTAAACCCCCCTCCCCACTCCTCTAACCCCCTCCCCACTCCTCTAACCCCCCTCCCCACTCCTCTACCCCCCTCCCCACTCCTCTAACCCACCCCCCTCCCCACTCCTCTAAACCCCCCTCCCCACTTCCTCTAACCCCCCTCCCCCCTCCCCACTCCTCTAACCCCCCTCCCCACTCCTTCAACCCCCCTCCCCACTCCTCTAACCCCCCTCCCCACTCCTCTAACCCACTCCCCACTCCTCTAACCCCCCTCCCACTCCTCTAACCCCCCTCCCCACTCCTCTAACCCCCCTCCCCGCTCCCCACTCCTCTAACCCCCCCCTCCCCACTCCTCTAGCCCCCCTCCCCACTCCTCTAATCCCCCTCCCCACTCCTCTAACCCCCCTCCCCACTCCTCTAACCCCCCCTCCCCACTCCTCTAACCCCCCTCCCCTCCAACTGTATTTGAATTGCCCCCCAACCAACTGTCTGAAGTACTCTTCTATTCACTCACCCCATACCCCTGCCCCCACCACTCTATTTTCACTGGCCTCCCTTTTCCTGCAGACTGTGGCGAAGTGAGAGGAAGAGCAATCATCATCATCATCGAACACAGGGAGGTGAAGGACCCTCAGGACCAGGAAGCCTCAGGGGAGACTGGAGCTTCAAAGCCTGTCCCTCAGACCTCAGTGTGTGCCACAGACACACACACCTCTGTGTGAGGAGAGGGGGCAGGGGAAACAGCTGCTCCATCATCCAGTACAAACATATACATGTAAAGAGATGCAGAATACGACCCTGAACATCTTAGACCCACAACAAGAGACAGACAGACAGAATAGGGTGTTTACATGAATGTAGGCCTATGTGTTAGAGTGAGCGTGTGTGGCTAGGTGAGCAAGATATTGTGTGTGCTTGCATGCCCGTGCTTGTGTGCGTGCGTATGTGTGTGTGTGTGTTGTATTTGAGAAATGAGGCTGAAATTGCTGCCACATGTCAGCAGCGGAGTACGGGATGCACACTGGCCTTCTGAGAGAGAGAGAGAGAGGAGAGAGAGAGAGAGAGAGAGAGAGAGAGAGAGAGAGAGAGAGAGAGAGAGTCAGAGAGGGAGTCTGAGAGGACCTTGGCCAAATACAAATATAGAGGAATGGGGTTGCTCACTCTGGGGTCTGAGCAGACAGGGAGGGAGGGTGGTGGTGGGTAGCTGCTGTGACTCACTCTGGGGTCAGAGCAGACAGGGTGTTGGTGGGTAGCTGCTGTGACTCACTCTGGGGTCAGAGCAGACAGGGTGTTGGTGGGTAGCTGCTGTGACTCACTCTGGGGTCAGAGCAGACAGGGTGTTGGTGGGTAGCTGATGTGACTCACTCTGGGGTCAGAGCAGACAGGGTGTTGGTGGGTAGCTGCTGTGACTCACTCTGGGGTCAGAGCAGACAGGGTGAGAGGGTGTTGGTGGGTAGCTGCTGTGACTCACTCTGGGGTCAGAGCAGACAGGGTGTTGGTGGGTAGCTGCTGTGACTCACTCTGGGGTCAGAGCAGACAGGGTGAGAGGGTGTTGGTGGGTAGCTGCTGTGACTTCTATACTGACTGGGTTTGATCGTGAAGTGATGGTGTGGGGGGAGAGTCATCAGGATGGGCTTCTAAGGCTTACACTGTCCTCAGCTCCATATTGACTTAAGTTCACATTGCACATAAACACAGTTCGTGATTCTGACATGGGTAGGGTTGACGTGAGGGTGCTACAGTATATCTGTTACTGTCGTGTGTGTTGTGTGTTGTGTGTATTCTAGAGGTTAAGTGGCCTGAGGTAATCACAGTGACCCTAAGGAGAGAAGAGGTCAAACTCCACAGAATGGCAGCCATTGTCTCTCCAAACACACGACTGTCTTCACTGCAGAGGCTGCTGGGTAATTGAGTGCTGACGGACAGGTGACATGACATGATACTCATTACTGTGTGTGTGTGTGTGTGTGTGTGTGTGTGTGTGTGTGTGTGTGTGTGTGTGTGTGTGTGTGTGTGTGTGTGTGTGTGTGTGTGTGTCTGTGTCTGTGTCTGTGTCTGTCTGTCTGTCTGTCTGTCTGTCTGTCTGTCTGTCGGAGGGCAGCTTCCGCTCAGCCCAGTCAAAGCTCTTCTCTGTCCTGGCACCCCAATGGTTGAACAAGCTAATGTCAGGACAGCGGAGTCCCTATCTTAAATAAATCACATGGCGCCCCCACCACCCACCCACTTGTCTTCTCCTACTATCCCTACAAGCACTGGCTTTGCTGATAGCTTCTTTATTGAGGACAAATGTACTTGTTACGACTGTGATATGTGGTTGTCCCACCTAGCTACAGCATCTGAAGATGAATGCACTAACTGTAAGACACTACGAGCGTCTGCTAAAGGACAAACATTTCAAATGGAGAGAGAGAGAGACCTTCAATTGAAAATTGAGAGCGAGAGCGAGAGAGAGAAAGAGAGGAAAAACCACAGACTTGTAAAACTCACCGTTAATATTCTGAATCAGTTGTGCCATATAATGACCCATTTATTTTGACTAAACCATTAGGACCCTTTCCAAATGATGAGCTTCCTCAGCTACACTACGCTATATTAGGTTTGAGATAGAGTCAAAGATCTCACAACTTTATAGATAAATAGAATTACATTTTGTCTGAAAGTTCTACACTGAAAAATAATATAAACGCAACATGTAAAGTGTTGGTCCCATGTTTCATGAGCTGAAATAAAAGATCCCAGAAATGTTCCATACGCACAAAAAGCTTTTTCTCTCACATTTTGTGCACAAATTTGTTTACATCCCTGTTAGTGAGCATTTCTCCTTTGCCAAGATAATCCATCCACCTGACAGGTGTGGCATATCAAGAAGCTGATCAAACAGCATGATCATTACACAGGTACACCTTGTGCTGGGGTCAATAAAAGGCCACTCTAAAATGTGCAGTTTTGTCACACAACACAATGCCACAGATGTCAAGTTTTGAGGGAGCGTGCAATTGGCATGCTGACTGCAGAAACGTCCACCAGAGCTGTGTGCGGAGGAGTATTCCTGTCTGTAACAAAGCCCTTTTGTGGGGAAAAACTCATTCTGATTGGCTGGGCCTGGCTCCCAAGTGGGTGGGCCTATGCCCTCCCAGGCCCACCCATGGCTGCGTCCCTGCCCAGTCATGTGAAATCCATAGATTAGGGCCTAATGAATTTATTTCAATTGACTGATTTCCTTGTATGAACTGTAACTCAGCAAAATCTTTGAAATTGTTGCATGCTGCTTTTATATTTTTTGTTCAGTATACAAAAGAAACCAAAACTTAGATCAACAAGACTAGCTGTCCATAAACAGTCTTCCACAGTAGCATATGATTTCCTCTGCAAGATTTTTCCCTCAGCAGTGAAACCGCAGGAGAGGTTTCTGTGTGTGCTTACTGACCTCCTGACCTCCCACAGTTTAAAGACAACTACACACACCTGTTACCTGGACATTATGCACTATAGGAAACGTATCATGGGTGGGCAGTGTGTATGTGTGTGTTTGTGTGTGTATGTGCGTGTGAGGAGTGGATGATCTGGGAGGACTGCAAAGTTAATGATGTACTATGTTGTGTGTTTGAGCGTGCAGTATGTGTTTTGGAGCATACAGTGTGTGTGTGTATTCTACCATTTGTGATGTGTGTTCAGCCTCACACATGTTTACGTCTCCCTCTGTGTAAACCATTAAATATCTCATCCCCACTCTGACCCCTATAACTCCTCTTTATGGTTTTTCCACATGGCCTCTCCTGTACGCGGGGGCTTTACTTTGGACCGCACCATGTTTGTTCTGGGGGCCCTGACACTCCACAGCTAACACCACGTCCCAAACCACACTAATGGAACACAGGAACAGAGGACGGCCGGAGAACGGTCACAGCGGTCGAACCAGGTCAAATGAGTTCCAAACCCGTTCGAGGCGGTTCAAACTAGGTCAAAGCCATTTAAAATGGTCAACAACATCGTAACAAATCACAAAAACCCAGTTCCAGTCCAGATCAGTCCAGTTCAAACCAAACTCTATTGGTAAGGGGTTAGGATATATTTGATATATTCCTGGCATTGGGTTAATCCTGACTTTTGCAGCCATAGCAACAATCTACTTCCTGGTTCCTACCATATGAAGGTTCTCACCTGCCTCAACATCCTCAGATGAGAGAGAGAGACAGAGACAGAGACAGATACAGAGACAGAGACAGAGACAGAGACAAAAAGAAAGCTAGAGAGAGACCAGAATAAGGAGACCTGAATAGAGTGAGCCTACATCTTTCTGTGTTAGCATGGTTCAGACCACATCTCTTTTCACGACTCACTACCCATGCAGGCCATTCATCACACAGAGATCAGAAAAGAACAACACAGACACACCCCTACTGGGGTTACTGCAGTGCATACTACCATGCACACACACACGCATATGCAAACACACACACACACCAACCTGGATAACGAACAGTGTCAAACAAAAGCACTTCACAGCTGATGATTTTAGAGACAACTATGAAAGGTGGTAATCCAACTCTCATCGCACTTTAAAAGGGCACCATAAAACTGACGTGTATTTGCACAAGGTTGGGGTTGTGTGTGTGTGTGACATGGTTTGGGGTCACCAGGGTTTATGAGTGCTCAACCGCAAACACACAATCGCTAGCTCTGCCACATACTGTGACCCGGTGTTGTGACATGGTTTGAGTGGCGGGTGTTTTCCTGTTTCCCCCTATGGCTGTGCTTGTGACCCGGTGTTGTGACATGGTTTGAGTGGCGGGTGTTTTCCTGTTTCCCCCCCTGGCTGTGCCTGTGACCCGGCGGACATGTCGGCTCCTGCCGGCTCCTTTGTGGAGGCCAGTTGCACAGGTGGGACCCATTTTCACACTGTGATTTATCAACATGGTCGCAGCACGAGGCTCAGAGTGGGCCTACTCATAACCCCCACTGCTGAATACAACAGAGCCACTGCTCTGCAGGCTTCAGGGACAGGATCAACTCCAGTTTTAGCCCGTTTACAAAGACAGCATGGTAAAACCCTGCATTGATTCATTCTTTTTGTACCTTTTCAAAGTAAAACTGTGATACTAACTCTCCAGCAAACAGTGGTGCACCGCTCTCTGACTTCTCCAATACAGCTCTGCTTCCTGCCACTCTCTCATTGGCTAGTTAAATATGCAGGAGGGCCGTGTGACTGGTTACCTGATCTGCAGGTGTACCGTTTCAGCACTACACTGACCTCAGCAGGACAGATAACACACACCTATTACAGGGTTACATTTCCACTGCACCCTCCACAATGCTGTGCTTAAACACGCACGCACACACACATACGAACACACACATATTTTTCCATTCCCACAGAGGAAAACCAAGAGATGGATTCAATCAAACCCCATTTAGGAGCGGTCCTTAACTTTGATGGGTCTGATAAATGCACTTCCATTCCACTCTATTATGTCTTCCTTGATTCTCTACTTCCCTCAAATCACACTACATCGTCTGTTCTCTCTAGCCACTCTTCTTCTTTTCAGTACCAGAGTGGCTGCCTGTCTGTGGGTCTGTGGCCCTCCCTCTACCCCTCCAGTAACATGGCTGTCAGCCTCTATGGAACCTGGCTCTGAGGCCAAGGCTTTAATCCACTCTGATAGAGCTGGAGGGCAAGATGGAGTGATGGCCACGGGGATAGACAGAAGGATATAGAGACTGGAATGGGGGGGGGGGGGGGGGGGGGGGGGGGGGGAATAGGGGTCCAGATTGGGATTGACTGACTGACTGTGTGTGAGAGTGTGTGTGTATGTGTATGTTTGTGTGTGAGATCAGGGCTGACAGATCCCATTATGGCCATCCATATCCCAGCAGCCTCTCATGTTAGAGCGAAGTGTCAAATGTCAGGTGCATTACAGCCAATTATATATTGACCCTCTGTCACACACACACAATCTCACACACACCACCCACTGAAAGTCAATTCCTTTAAAGACCCCAACCAGAGGGCAATGCCGCCCCTATTTCAACGTTAATTCCTGTCCTAGAGTGGAAATTCTCGTTTAGCTTCCACCTCAGAAGAATGACGCAGGCTACTAATACATATTCCCGAATTGGGGGTGAGAACATTGTGGTGATTTCCACGTGGGGTGGACAAATAACAACAAGTAGAGCACTGACAGCTGTCAGTGTAGCTAGCATGCTAACCTTGTCTATCTAGCTAATGTTATCTGTTGTTGCTACACCATATTCAAAAGATTAGCCGGCTGGCTAGGTTATGGCTGGTTCTGGAGCTGGATTTGTCATTAGCATTTAGTGAAAACTTTGCCAAAGATGGATATGGGGAACCAGTATATTTGACTTTGCCATCTCTTGTTATCACCAAAGTTTAAACATCTTCCAGAGCGCATCAGACATGAAACACCTAATACAAATGTAACAACAGCACAACAAAATAGATAAAGAAGTTTGTGCAATTTTCTTTTGCAGGTGCCTTTTCATTATAGGATAGATACTTGGTTTTCTAGCGTGGTCACAAACATTTGCTAAATGGTCAAAATGCATGTGATATAGAATTTTGGAAACCCGCTCCCCCCGTCGCCCCAAGATGAATGGTTTTGACCACGATATATATACAGACTACCTAAAAAAGAAGTTAAAAAGTATTCATCAGAAACACATTGCTGGTGTTTCTGATTAATAAACAATGCCATGCTGGTGGGTGGTAACTTTAAACTAAAACCCAGCCCTGAAGAAATGTAGACCAAAAATTATTAGCATGTCATGTCATAGGGGAAACACAATGCATTGACACGGATTTCCACGAATGTCCCACTTCAAGCCCAAATATATCATACTTTGACTAAAATGATGACTTATTGACTTAAATCGTTCTGCAACATCATGGGTAAACTATGGGCATCGTCTTTCAGCTCCAGCTCTTGTGGGCGTTTAAGTATGATGTATTCGGCTCACCGCTACGCCAAAATTCCTTGCACATGTATAGACTATTAGCCCTAATTTCGGCCCAAATTGCTTCCTGTAATGAAGAGTGGACATCGTTAGTGAGCCGCTCTCCGCTGCCGCGCACAAAGACATCTAAAGTATCGCTTCCAACTCCACAGAAGTTTGGAGAAAAATGCTAACCTGCCCCCCACCTCACCCCCCGCCTCATAAAATCATTAGACCCACAGAGTTCAGGACTTCAAAGACAGAGAGATGAAAACACTGCCAGTCTCCCTCAGCCTCCCTCAGTTTCTCTCCTGCCAGGTCGCTCAAGATTTACTTAGAAATTGGACGTTGGTCCATGTCCCGAGGACGTTGAGAGATGCCTTTAAAACCCTCCAACTAGGGGCAACGGTGAGCGCTATTACCATTAAGTAGGCTTAGGTTTTGCTATGGTGTTGTGGACGGGGATGGGCTTAAGCCGCGAGCTCTGGCTCCGAGGGTCGCCTGTTCAATCCCAGTGCTAAACACTCGTTTAATTTCTTGGGGTTTTAACCCTATCCCAAACCTTAACCCTAAACTGCAGGAGGAGCCGCATAAAGGAGTCGCAGCCGCAACCTAGGGTGTCCAAAACACATCGAAATTTGACATTTGGAGCAACTTCGAAATTGGACGTTTAGAGAAACGTGGATAAACGTCAGAATCTGAAGTCAAATTGGTCAACCCGTGAGCTTGTTGCTCTTTCTCCCAGACAGACCCAATGCACCAGGCCAGACAGACTAAATGGAGGGCCCTGACTAGGTAAGATCTGCACAGGCCTCTCATAGCCTGCCTGGCTGCGTGTGTGCGTTTGTGCGTGTGTGCAGTATTTTTAAACACTCTCACCTCTGTCTGCAGTGTGGTAGAGCGTTGCTCCTTGGCGCTGAGTGATTCTTTGAGCACCTCTATGTGCTGTTTGCAGTCTGAGTTCTGGTTGGTCAGAGCATCCAGTTTGGTCTGAAGGGCCTGCATCTCTGATTCCTTTTTATTCAGCTCCTGCTTCTGCTGGTCTACCTGTCAGTCACGACACACACACACACACACACACGTTAAACCATAATAAAATACCTTAGCAATTCTGAATGGCGCAAAACCAAAAGCTCCTAGAACCCCTATTACACACAACTAAAACCCAGAACTTGTAGAACACACACATACGGCCAGCATATAGAACATACACCTTCAGAGGACTGACAGGGGATATATGGAGAATCATGCTGACACAACATGCATCTCAGGTTTGGTTGAGAGGTCAAATGTTTGTATTTTCTACTCCAGAGAAAATATAGAATATCTTAGGTCAAAGTTAGGTAATTCTTCTCCCACCATCAACTTGTGGACGTGACACACATCCTCCAACCTCCACAATCACCTTGGAGACATTGTTGAGTACATAAATACAACGTGGAGGGCAGACGTGGACACACACTCTCCAATACACACAGAGGGCCAGAATGATTAATCCTCTAGAAGACTAGAAATGCTTCTCTATCCAAGACACACTCCTACTACTACAGACCCCATGGAAACAACAGTCCAAACACCCAAACTGAGACAAGGAAAAACACTCGTAGGGGGAGAAAAATAGTTATGAGAAGCTGTATTACACTCAAATATCTGCAAGATTACTGATCGTTTTTGAAATTGTGTAATTGAAGGGAAAGAGCTGAAAGAACAGCACAGAACAACCACTAAGGAAATCAAATGGACCCGTTCGTTTTTTTTTTTTCCACGCTCAGTTTTTTTCTGCGAGTGGGCTAGCTATGTGCACAAAGATTGTCATCTGCGCTCCAGTGCCAAAAATGTGAGAGGTTGATTTCTGAGGGAGATTTGTTAATTGTGCTGCTCGGCGGGGAGCATGTCATGACTTTAGAATTCTGAGAGGGAGAGAGAAAGCTGGGCCAATCACTTTTGACTCTGAGAGAGAGAGAGGGAGAGAGAGAGAGCGAGAGAGAGAGAGAGAGAGAGAGAGAGAGAGAGAGAGAGAGAGAGGAGAGAGAGAGAGAGAGAGACGGGGATAGAGATGGAGAAAGAGAGAGAGAGAGAGACAGGGATAGAGATGGAGAAAGAGAAAAAGAAAGAGGGAGAGAGAAACAGGCAAAAAGAGAGAGAAAAGAGAGAGGTAAGATGGGAGAGTGGAGGGGACAGAAAGAGGAAGAGAAAATTGAGAAAAAGAAACGGGAGAGATATGAAAGAGAGAAGGTAAAAGAGGGGTACTGCTGAGCGGTCTGCTATTCAGGGCTGCTGGAAGAGGAGGAAGGTGGGGTGGGGGTCTAAGTGTGGTGGGGGGCCCCTGGCCCTGGAGGATCCCAGGACCACTGACACACGGCCTCCTACGGAGACAAAAACACAAGAACAAAACAACCTCTAAACTACACGCCATCACTACCTTACACTGACCTAGCATCACTAAGCAATAGTAGTTTATTATCACTAATAGCCCAATAGTGAGTGAAAGTTTTACACTTACTCTAGGAGAACTGAAGTTACACCACTGGCATCTACAGTGCACAGTGGTGTAACGTTACAGCCTAATTCTAAATTGGATTAAATAAATGTTTTCCCTCATCAATCTACACACAATACTCCATAATGACAAAGCGAAAAGAGGTTTTTAGAATTTTTGCAAATGTATTAAAAATTAAACAGAAATACCCAATTTACATAAGTATTCAGACCTTTTGCTATGAGACTCAAAATTAAGCTCAGGTGCATCCTGTTTCCATTGATCATCCTTGAGATGTTTCTACAACTTGATTGGAGTCCACCTGTGGTAAATTCAATTGATTGGACATGATTTGGAAAGGCACACACCTGTCTATATAAAGGTCCCACAGTTGACAGTGTATGTCAGAGCAAAAACCAAGCCATGAGGTCGAATGAATTGTCCGTAGAGCTCCAAGACAGGATTGTGTCGAGGCACAGATCTGGGGAAGGGTACCAAAACATTTCTGCAGCACTGAAGGTCCCCAAGAACACAGTGGCCTCCATCATTCTTAAATGGAAGAAGTTTGGAACCACCAAGACTCTTCCTAGAGCTGGCCGCCCGGCCAAACTTAGCAATCAGGGAGGTACCAAGAACCCGATGGTCCCTCTGACAGAGCTCCTCTGTGGAGATGGGAGAACCTTCCAGAAGGACAACCATTTCAGCAGCACTCCACCAATCAGGCCTTTATGGTAGAGTGGCCAGACAGAAGCCACTCCTCCGTAAAAGGCACATGACAGCCTGCTTGTAGTTTGCCAAAAGGCACCTAAAGGACTCTCAGACCATGAGAAACAAGATTCTCTGGTCTGATGAAACCAAGATTGAACTCTTTGGCCTGAATGCCAAGCTTCACGTCTGGCGGTAACCTGGCACCATCCCTACGGTGAAGCATGGTGGTGGCAGCATTCATGCTGTGGGGATGTTTTTCAGCGGCAGGGACTGGGAGACTAGTCAGGATCGAGGGAAAGATGAACGGAGCAAAGTACAGAGAGATCCTTGATGAAAACCTGCTCCAGAGCGCTCAGGACCTCAGACTGGGGCGAATGTTCACCTTCTAACAGGACAATGACCCTAAGCACACAGCCAAGACACTGCAGGAGTGGCTTGAGGACAAGTCTCTGAATGTCCTTGAGTGGCCCAGCCAGAGCCCGGACTTGAACCCAATCGAACATCTCTGTAGAGACCTGAAAATAGCTGTACAGCGATACTCCCCATCCAACCTGACAGAGCTTGAGAGGATCTGCAGAGAAGAATGGGAGAAACTCCCCAAATACAGGTGTGCCAAGCATGTAGTGTCATACCCAAGACGACTAGAGGCTGTAATCGCTGTCAAAGGTGCTTCAACAAAGTACTGAGTAAAGGGTTTGAATACTTCTGTAAATGTGATATTTCCGTTTTCAATTTTTATACAATTTGGAAAAATATCTAAAAACCTGTTTTTGCTTTGTCAATATGGGGTATTGTGTGTAGATTGATGAGGGGGAAATAACAATTGAATCAATTTTAGAATAAGGCTGTAAAGTAACAAAACGTGGAAAAAGTCAAGGGGTCTGAATACTTTCCGAATGCACTGTATATATGAAGTATTCACACCCCTTTACTTTATCCACGTTTTGTTTTTACAAAGTGGGATTAAAATGGATTTTATTGTCAATAATTTACACTAAATACTCTGTCAAAGTGGAAGAAAAACATTTTTTTATTTATAAAAAATAAAAAACTAATACTGTACATTTTGATTAGATAAGTATTCAGCCCCCTGATTCAATACATTTTAGAATCACCTTTGGCAGTTATTACAGCTGTCTTTTTTTTTTTTTTCAGGGGTAGATCAGCTTTAATATTGCAGATCGATTGTAACTTCCATTAATGTAATTGTCTGCATCAATTCCAATCCCCCATATGTTATTTTTTCTTCTATTTTGCAATCTATATGGGACGGCTGTCAATCCTTCGGTCCTTAAATGAAACTGGTATACTTTTTTATTTATCACAGTTTTCTTTAACCAATTATGTTCTTTAATGCAAGTTCAGATTTAAGTTTAACTTTTGTATGACTGAAGCTTTTAGTGATAGGTCTAATGCTTTAATATTCATTATATAAATAGGCCCGTTTAATTTTGTCTGGCTTGCCGTTCCAAATAAAATTGAATCTGTTTTTCTCATATAATTTAAAAAACTGTTCGCTAGGCGTAGGCAAGACCATAAACAAATAGGTCAACTGGGATAATACTAAAGAGTTAATCAGGGCAATTTTTCCACAAATTGACAGTTATTTACCTTTCCATGGTAGCAAGATCTTATCTATTACAGCTGTGTCTTTCTGGGTAAGTCTCTAAGAGCTTTCCACACCTGGATTGTGCAACATTTGCCCATCATTCTTTTCAAAATTCTTCAAGCTCTGTCAAATTGGTTGTTGATCATTGCTAGACAACCATTTTCAGGTCTTGCCACAGACTTTTAAGCAGATTTAAGTAAAAACTGTAACTTGCCACTCAGGAACATTCACTGTCTTCTTGGTAAGCAACTCCAGTGTAGATATTTGTGGTTATTTTCCTGCCGAAAGGTGAATTAATCTCTTCTTCTAGGATTTTGCCTGTGATTAGTTCCTTTCCGTTTCTTTTTTATCCTGAAAAACTCCCCAGTCCTTAACGATTACAAGCATACCCATAACATGATGCAGCCACCACCCATGCATGAAAATATGGAGAGTGGTTCTCAATAATGTGTTGTATTGGATTTGCCCCAAACATAACACTTTGTATTCAGGACAAAAAGTTAATTGCTTTGCCACATCTTTTGCAGTATTACTTTAGTGCCTTGTTGCAAACAGGATGCATGTTTTGGAATATTTTTTGTTCTGTACAGGTTTCCTTCTTTTCACTCTGTCAATTAGGTTAGTATTGTGGAGTAACTACAATGTTGTTGATCCATCCTCAGTTTTCTCCTATCACAGCCATTAAATTGTGATTTTAAACTGTTTTAAAATCACCATTGGCCTCATGGTGAAATCCCTGAGCGGTTTCCTTCCTCTCTGGCAACAGTTAGGAAGGACGCCTGTATCTTTGTAGTGACTGGTTGTATTGATACACCATCCAAAGTGTAATTAATAACTTCACCATGCTCAAAGGGATATTCAATATCTGCTTTAAAAAAAATCTTTACCCATCTACCAACAGGTGCCCTTCTGTGCGAGGCATTGGAAAACATCCTTAGTGTTTGTGGCTGAATCTGTGTTTGAGGGACCTTACAGATAATTGTATATGAGGGGTACAGAGATGAGGTAGTCATTCAAAAATCATGTTAAAAACTATTATTGTACACAGAGTCCATGCAACTTATTATGTCACCTGTTAAGCACATTTTTACTTCTGGACTTATTTAGGCTTGCCATGACGAAGGGGTTGCATACTTATTGACTCAAGTAATTTCAGCTTTTCATTTTTTATTAATTTAATAAAACATAATTCCACTTTGACATTATGGGGTATTGTGTGTAGGCCAGTGACAAAAAAATCTCAATTTAATCAATTTTAAATTCAGGCTGTAACACAACAAAAATGTGGAAAAAGTCAAGGGCTGTGAGTACATTCTAAAGGCACTGTATACAGGCTAGTATACTACTAGGTCAGGCCTGGTTGGGGCTCTGACCCAGATAAGCAGCCCAGTGAGGAAACCAAAGACCCAGAGAGGCTGTCCTGTCCCTTCATCAGAGCAGCCTGTCCTCCCCTTATCAATGTCCCCCTATTTGATTCCTCCTCAGCTCACCACCAACCTCCCCCGCGCTGAAAGACCAGGTCCCAGGAAGATACTGTAGACGAGGGATATATGTGATAAATATGTGTGTGTGTGTGGGAGGTGGGTAGCTGTGTGTGTGTGTGTGTGTGTGTGTGTGTGTGTGTGTGTGTGTGTGTGTGTGTGTGTGTGTGTGTGTGTGTGTGTGTGTGTGTGTGTGTGTGTGTGTGTGTGTGTGTGTGTGTGTGTGTGTGTGTGTGTGTGTGTGTGTGTGTGTGTGTGTGTGTGTGTGTGTGTGTGTGTGTGTGTGTGCAGAAAGACGAGGCCTCTGACACCAAACTCCAGCCGTCAGTATGTTGTATCATTCCAGGCCAGTCTCCATGAGGAGAGAGCTCCTTCCTCTGCTGTTGTTAGCTCATAGCCGTCTGTCAAAGCCCCATTCATAAAAACATCCCTTTATGATTGCATCAGAAACTTCCCCAATGCACTGTCAAATGGGGACTACAAAGAGCACCATTAACAAACCAAACAGAAACATTTTCACATGAAACGCTACTCATCGACCCCGGGCCATCACAGACACTCACACAGAGCTCTGAAACCCAACACTGATGTTATTAAACCACTGGCCTTTCATATACCTCCATTCATACATCACCCCATAAAGCTATTAGAGCGGGCCTTCCCATTAAAAGAAATGCTTCATGTTGATACACCGATGGAATATTGGATGTACCATTTAGAGTAGAGTAGGATTATTGATGGTTTGTGTTTACTGGACAGTGTGTGTGTGTGTGTGTGTGTGTGTGTGCGTGTGTGTGAGTATATATGAATAAACCATAAGAGAGAGCTTGCGCCACAGAAACCAGACCTTGCTCTTATAAAACTGCAGCTTCCTGTCTGACAAAGGAAGTAGTGCAAATGGACACCATCGCCCGTAAACCAATATGGCTTGTGTCTTCCATGGAGAGCTGGAGGAGAAGCCGAAAAGCTGTGTCATGGCGGCGACGAGAAGTGAAGAGAGTTTGGTGAAATAGTTGGTTCAGTCAAGATTTTCCAAAGTGAGTGACGGCTCAATCCTTTTGTGTCTTGGCTGAAAAGCCAGAAAGTTTTGACCAGAGATAGTAGAAACATAAAGGTTTTGCACAGACAACTGTAGAGGCATGCAGAGTACAGTTGATGTGATACCTTGCAAACAGTAAACATATGGTTAGGACATGCAGTGGATAGGACTGGAGATGAGATGTTGAAGTTGAAGGAGGCACATGCAGTAGAGACATGGCAGTGACATCCAATAGTGACATGCACAGAGCCCAGTAAAGGAGAAAGCATAGACACATGCAGTCGACACATGCACAATTAACAGTGCTGTTGACGTGATACTTTGCTTCTTCACAACCATGCAGAGGCGACATACACAACCATAGCAACATGCGGAGATGTCAAGCAGAGTGACACCAGTCCAGTGAGTCTCTCTCTACCTGTTTTTTCATGAACTTGGAGTGGCTCTTGTAGACCTCCATGTGTTTGAGTTCATCCAGGCGGTCGCCAGGGTGGAGCAGCCCACTTGTCTTCATCAACTGGACCTCATCCTCCAGGTCTCGGATGTTCCTCTCCAGAGACGATATCTTAGTGTCCTACAGTACACACACCAGCCAAGAGGGGGAGAAACCAACGTCAGCCACAGAAAAGGCCATGATGGCTTGTAAAAGGTGTGAATAGAAAGGAGGTAGAGTCGAGACGGCAAGGGTCGACGCGGAGTCAGCCTCTCAAAGTGTATATTTAATAAAGGGTTGATGACAAAAAAAGATGAACAGAAAAGAGAAGAAGAGACGAGACTGCAAGCAGACATGACACCGTACCCAGAGACAAGGCACACAGAGAGCTAAATGGGACAGTATGGGTGAGATAGATACCAGTCTTGATTATTAGCTGAAAAGACAGGTGTGTAATAGTGATGGACTGGCACACAGACAAAAGCAGACCCGTCCTAGCCAGGACATACAACTGAACCAGTGACTGGGTCCAATAGTAAAGGGAGGGAAAAGGCCAGAGTTCTGTATAGTGACAAAGCGGGTTGTATTTGTTCCTGCATGCACAGTATCTATGAGGGAATGGGACAGGTTCTGAGCTTGTTTAGCTCCATAAGACCAGACACACGTTAAACGGTAAACCTTGGAGAAGATGAGAAGGTAATGGAATAAATGGAAGCAGATTGTATGATGGCATCGGTAGAAACCTCAGGCTGCATGCAAGCATCTGACCTCGATTACTAGAACTCTACTGACATCCCCCACCCCATCCACCGCCGCCCCAACATACACTATGGTATACTGCATATCATCCTACATGCACACACACTACACACACACACACACACACACACACACACACACACACACACACACCTACATGATTTTACATCCTGCATGCCTACACCCAATTCACAAACCTATGCTCACACACATCCACCCCAAACTATACCCCTTGCCCCAAGGTAGTCTTTGTTTTACTGTCTTTGTGTTACAGTAGCTATATGAATACACATGCAGAGGAAAACACACAAAGCAGACGAATCCAAACCATCAAAGCAACACAGCAGCAACATGCATCATCTCATGTGTTCCTCTCAAATCAGACAAAACACACCATGTACAGAAACCACACAGAGATTACACACAAAGAAACCAAAAAAGTGAAAATAATCTATATAGAAAATAGGGGGTCATATCTCAACACAAAGAAAGTTCCACCTTTGGCAAAACGTGATTGTAAAGGCCATTTCCAACACATTGATTATGATATCTTCTACTTGCTACCCCATGTTCAGTTTATGTTGGGATGCAGAACGTCATCATGTTTCACTCCAACTGTATGGGGTTAGAAACCAATGTGCAGGGAGAGAAGAGTGACTGACAGACCGGCTACTGTACAATCACAGCCTGCAGTAGAGACAATACACATTGAGGATTGTTAAGGGCTTTATTGCACACTGTAGATGTGTGTCATGTATTGAGGATTGCCATGGGAGGAGACTAGAGCAGGTAGAGGGGTGGGATGAGGAGATCCTACTGTACCTGCCAGATCACGTCAGGATCAAAACAGAAAGGGGGTGTGGTCTGAAATCACATAACACAAATACACACGTCTCAGACACTCATTACAACACAACACACACGTCTCAGACACTCAATACAACATACACATCTCAGACACTCAATACAACATACACGTCTCAGACACTCATTACAACACAACACACACGTCTCAGGACACTCATTACAACACAACACATACGTCTCAGACACTCAATACAACATACACGTCTCAGACACTCATTACAACACAACACACACGTCTCAGACACTCATTACAACACAACACACACGTCTCAGACACTCATTACAACACAACACACACGTCTCAGCACCAACAACATAACACACACATTGCCACAAACAAAATCAAGCACTAATTACAACACAGATGTTTTTTACACTCAGAAGTCACAACACTTTGCTCTCATGACTAACACACAGAACATAACACACAGAAAATAACACACAGAACATAACACACAGAAAATAACACACAGAACATAACACACATTCCGTTTGCCAACCTCTAACCATCACCATAGAAAACATCTCTCCATCTCACTCACTCTTATATCAATATGTTTCTTTGATTTTTTCTCTCTAATATTCCCTCAGCAATAAATAAATGCTGCTTCAAGAACTAAAGCCACTTCCTTCTAAAAATGTGCAATCTGTAAATGGGAGGACAAATGGCAAAATGTGTGAAAAATAACTGTGGTTTAGCTATAAACCACACTTGGTAGAGGCATGTGCTGAATTAACACAAAGTGTGTATGTGTGTGTGTGTGTGTGCTTGCATGTGGAGTCAACTGCATTTTTCACAGCTCCTACTGACTTCAAAGGCTTGAGATGAGAGTGAAAGCTTCCATATGTGACATTTGAAACAAATTGAATAAGTGCTCTACTCTGCATGGGCCAATATGTCTTCCCTGGAAACGGCCCCATATAGATCCTAGTCAACACACACTCACTCTTAAACTGGTGTGTGTGTGTGTGTGTGTGTGTGTGTGTGTGTGTGTGTGTGTGTGTGTGTGTGTGTGTGTGTGTGTGTGTGTGTGTGTGTGTGTATTGTAACAATATGTATCCTCTTTTGTAATGTGATCTTTCCTGAATTCAGTGAGATAATCAACTATGCTCACCTTACAGGCTATCAATAATTCACTCTGTTTCAATATGAAACTGATACCAGATCATTAGATGAACTACTGTTGCCATCTGACTTAAATGTGGGCCTATCAAAAAGTCAGACTACAGGCCTGTTTGTGTTGGTTAATTGTCAAGCAGTTGTTAGGCCTGTCGTCATATCAACGACTATCACACTATCAGTTTTGGGATCCATAGTAGGACTTACCTTCATATCAATGACAGTCTGCAGGGCCTTAGTCTTGGTGGGGTCCTGCTGGCTCCTCCTGTGCAGCTCCTGAGGAGGGACCCGGTAGAAGTAAGCTTGACGACTCATCATCTTATCACTCACACTCACACTCTCACACACACCGCTGGCAGAGTATATCTGTCTCGGTCTGTCCATTCTTTCTTCCTCTCTTTCTCTTTCTCTGTCTCCTCTCTTTCTCGGTTCTTTTCCCCACCTCAACTTTTCCTTCACGTCTCACATCTTCACTCTATTTCTCTCTGCATCTGTTATTTCTGTAATAATCTCTCACTCTTCAGTAAGCTTCATCTCTCTATCAAGTGCTCTTGTTCTTTCCCCGTCTCCCTGTCCTCCTCCGCTTCCCTCAAAGTATGTATACCTGTACTCCCTTATACTCTTCTCGCACTTATGTCTAAATGGAATGACTCCTCTTACAGTACTTCTGTCTCCCTGTCCTCCTCCTCTTCTCTCCTTCTGTCTCCCTGTCCTCCTCCTCTTCTCTCTTCTCTCCTTCTGTCTCCCTGTCCTCCTCCTCTTTCGCCTCCTTCTTCTTCTCCCTGTTCCTGCCTCCTCCTCTCTCCTCTCTTCTGGTCTCCCTGTCCTCTTTTCTCGTTTCTCTTCCTTCGTGTCTCCTGTCCTCCTCACTCTTCGCTCCTTCTGTCTCCCTGGTCTCTCTCCTCCTCCTTTGGGGTTCGTTGGTCTGCTATTCTACCTAACCTACGTCTCCTCTCTCTCTCTGTCTCTCGGTCTCTCCCTCCTCTCTCGCTCCTTCTCTCTCTCGTCTCTCTCCTCTCTCTCTCTCTTCGCTCTCTCTCTCCTCAGCTCTCTCCCTCGCCTCTCTCTCTCTCTTCTCTCTCTCTTCTCTCTTCCCTCTCGTTCTCTCCTCTCTCCTCCTAACCCGCTCGCTCTTACACTCTCGCTCACTCGCTATCCTTCTGCTATCAATAATTAATGCTAACACAGACACACACACACAGCTCTGCCAGTTAAACTCACAGTATAACATCGACATCTCATCAAGTCTTGTTTTTCTTTTCATGTTGAACAGGGTGTAAGGGAGAGATTGAGTGGGCAGAGATATGCATATGGGAATAATGGAAGAAATTACATGTATTTTAATCGATCTCAAACAAGCATGGCCACTGTTCATAGATCTCTGTAGTGTTCTTATTCACCTAGATAGTCCAGAGTCCAGACAGTCACCACGCAACACTCACTCACTCACTCAAAGGTATGCAATACTAGCACTACTATAAGACAACAGCAGCACTACTGAAGTCACTACTGAAGTCTCTACAGATGTCTCTACAGATGTCACTACTGAAGTCACTACTGATGTCACTACTGAAGTCACTACTGAAGTCACTACTGAAGTCACTACTGAAGTCTCTACAGATGTCTCTACAGATGTCACTCCTGAAGTCACTACTGAAGTCACTACTGAAGTCACTACATATGGTCACTACTGAAGTCACTACTGATGTCTCTACTAATGTCTCTACTGATGTCACTACTGAAGTCGCTACAGATGTCACTACTGAAGTCACTACTGAAGTCACTACTGAAGTCACTACTGAAGTCACTACTGATGTCTCTACTGAAGTCACTACTGAAGTCTCTACTGATGTCACTACTGAAGTCGCTACTGATGTCTCTACAGATGTCTCTACTGAAGTCACTACTGAAGTCACTACCAATGTCTCTACAGATGTCACTACTGAAGTCACTAATTAAGTCACTACTGATGTCACTACAGATGTCACTACTGAAGTCACTACTGATGTCACTACTGAAGTCACTACTGAAGTCACTACTGATGTCTCTACTGAAGTCACTACTGATGTCACTACTGATGTCTCTACTGAAGTCACTACCAATGTCTCTACAGATGTCACTACTGAAGTCACTAATGAAGTCACTAATGAAGTCACTACAGATGTCACTACTGAAGTCACTACTGATGTCTCTACTGAAGTCACTACTGAAGTCTCTACTGATGTCACTACTGAAGTCGCTACTGATGTCTCTACAGATGTCTCTACTGAAGTCACTACTGAAGTCACTACCAATGTCTCTACAGATGTCACTACTGAAGTCACTAATTAAGTCACTACTGATGTCACTACAGATGTCACTACTGAAGTCACTACTGATGTCACTACTGAAGTCACTACTGAAGTCACTACTGATGTCTCTACTGAAGTCACTACTGATGTCACTACTGATGTCTCTACAGATGTCTCTACTGAAGTCACTACCAATGTCTCTACAGATGTCACTACTGAAGTCACTAATGAAGTCACTAATGAAGTCACTACTGATGTCACTACTGAAGTCACTACTGAAGTCACTACTGATGTCTCTACTGAAGTCACTACTGATGTCACTACTGATGTCTCTACAGATGTCTCTACTGAAGTCACTACCAATGTCTCTACAGATGTCACTACTGAAGTCACTAATGAAGTCACTAATGAAGTCACTACAGATGTCACTACTGAAGTCACTACTGATGTCGCTACTGAAGTCACTACAACAGGTAGCAGCATCACTCTAAACTGAAGCACCTCAGAAGGCATGGAGGATGCAGGACACCACCTTTTCCCAACAAGACAGAAGTCAAGACAAAACACAGACACACAAAGATGGAAAGTATACAAAAATACATACAAGGGACATACAGTGGGGAGAACAAGTATTTGATACACTGCCGATTTTGCAAGTTTTCCTACTTACAAAGCATGTAGAGGTCATTTTTTATCATAGGTACACTTCAACTGTGAGAGACGGAATCTAAAACAAAAATCCAGAAAATCACATTGTATGATTTTTAAGTAATTCATTTGCATTTTATTGCATGACATAAGTATTTGATCACCTACCAACCAGTAAGAATTCCGGCTCTCACAGACCTGTTAGTTTTTCTTTAAGAAGCCCTCCTGTTCACCACTCATTACCTGTATTAACTGCACCTGTTTGAACTCGTTACCTGTATAAAAGACGCCTGTCCACACACTCAATCAAACAGACTCCAACCTCTCCACAATGGCCAAGACCAGAGATCTGTGTAAGGACATCAGGGATAAAATTGTAGACCTGCACAAGGCTGGGATGGGCTACAGGACAATAGGCAAGCAGCTTGGTGAGAAGGCAACAACTGTTGGTGCAATTATTAGAAAATGGAAGAAGTTCAAGATGACGGTCAATCACCCTCGGTCTGGGGCTCCATGCAAGATCTCACCTCGTGGGGCATCAATGATCATGAGGAAGGTGAGGGATCAGCCCAGAACTACACGGCAGGACCTTGTCAATGACCTGAAGAGAGCTGGGACCACAGTCTCAAAGAAAACCATTAGTAACACACTACGCCGTCATGGATTAAAATCCTGCAGCGCACGCAAGGTCCCCCTGCTCAAGCCAGCGCATGTCCAGGCCCGTCTGAAGTTTGCCAATGACCATCTGGATGATCCAGAGGAGGAATGGGAGAAGGTCATGTGGTTTGATGAGACAAAAATATAGCTTTTTGGTCTAAACTACACTCACCGTGTTTGGAGGAAGAAGAAGGATGAGTACAACCCCAAGAACACCATCCCAACATTAAGCATGGAGGTAGAAACATCATTCTTTGGGGATGCTTTTCTGCAAGGGGGACAGGACGACTGCACCGTATTGAGGGGAGGATGGATGGGGCCATGTATCGCGAGATCTTGGCCAACAACCTCCTTCCCTCAGTAAGAGCATTGAAGATGGGTCGTGGCTGGGTCTTCCAGCATGACAACGACCCGAAACACACAGCCAGGGCAACTAAGGAGTGGCTCCGTAAGAAGCATCTCAAGGTCCTGGAGTGGCCTAGCCAGTCTCCAGACCTGAACCCAATAGAAAATATTTGGAGGGAGTTGAAAGTCCGTATTGCCCAGCGACAGCCCCGTAACCTGAAGGATCTGGAGAAGGTCTGTATGGAGGAGTGGGCCAAAATCCCTGCTGCAGTGTGTGCAAACCTGGTCAAGACCTACAGGAAACGTATGATCTCTGTAATTGCAAACAAAGGTTTCTGTACCAAATATTAAGTTCTGCTTTTCTGATGTATCAAATACTTATGTCATGCAATAAAATGCAAATTAATTACTTAAAAATCATACAATGTGATTTTCTGGATTTTTGTTTTAGATACCGTCTCTCACAGTTGAAGTGTACCTATCATAAAAATTATAGACCTCTACATGCTTTGTAAGTAGGAAAACCTGCAAAATCGGCAGTGTATCAAATACTTGTTCTCCCCACTGTAGCTAGGGCCACAAGTATTAGAGTAGAAGTACATAGAACAGAGTGAGAGATACACAAACAGTTACAGGTGGTAGAAGACAGAAACAGAAAAGTCAGGAAGAGTTGAGCTCTATGAAGACCACTCACCAGACCAGACCACTCACCAGACATGTCAGACTAACATTAATTCCAAATTGACCTTCCATATGTATGATTATATCCCAGATGTAACACACACACACAAACACGTGTGAATGTATCCTACATGACTCTACTAAGGAGAGTGTGTGAGGCTTATCTTATCTTGTCAAGCGTGTTCACTCTGGATGTGAGAGGATTACTGTTGTCAGAGTAGACCTCAGACAGAGCCAGAATGCACGCACACGCACACGCACACACACACACACACACACACACACACACACACACACACACACACTAAGAATCCTCGCCACTTGTAATCCTCTTCTAGCAGAGTGTGTGTGAGTGAGTGTGTGTTTTTGGAGAACAATGCATGGTCCAACAGCAGTGTGTGTGCGACTGCATGTTTAAAATGATGTGCATGTGTGTGTGTGTGTAAGCGTGTGTGAATATGTGTGTATGTGTGTTCAGTCATCATATAGAAATACAAGAGCATGGATCTAACCATTCTGGTAACAAGTGGCTGCACCATGAAGTCATTGAGAGCATGTCATCAAAGCATCGCTCTGGTCCATATGTGTCAAAGCAGCAGGCATATGGAACAAATAGCATCAACTATAATGATATAATGCATCCTGTACAAAGGAAATGAACCAAAGGTTCAACTGTAGCCCATAGGCAGTGGTGTCATAGACACACCCCCTGACCAATTACACACACCCTTCACCATCAGAAGGGGGGGGGGGGGGGGGGGG